GGGTTTAATATTTTTCCTAGAACTTTTTTTTTTTTTTTTTTTTTTTTTTTTTTTTTTTTTTTTTTTTTTTTTAAAAAAAAAAAAAAAAAAAAAAAAAAAAAAAAAAAGATGAAAAAAAGCCCAATTGAAGAAGACAGACAGAATGGCATAGAGACCCCTGAAATAGCTGTATTGAGGATAGTGGGAGAAAAGGTTTTTGTACAGAAACAGAACTCAGCTTTGGTGGATATCATGGGAAAACAGCTTACTGTGAAGAGTCTTATGAAAAAAACACAGCAATTTTAAGCTGTGGTGTATGAAAGCAGGGTAGGCAGGAGCCTACAAGGGAAAGAAAGAAGGAGCCTACAGAGAAAAAGAAGAGAGGATCAGGATGAGGTATCACATGGGGGCTCAGTTCACACAGTCTGCAGTGGAGGATGTCTGTAGCTCATTAGAAATAGATAAGAATCAAACTGCCCTCAAGCAGGTATAGTTTGAGCTCTCCAGCACAGGCACAGATGGCTCTTTAAATGCTCTTTGCAAGAAGCTGGCCCCCTCCGCAGCAGTGCCTCCTATCTCAGCAAATGACCACCAACTCCATTAACAGTTTTTCATCTGCAGCTTGAAAGAGAGCATCCATCTGTAGAATAGGTCTAGGCTACTACTACCATTGCAAACAGAATTGTCATTTTGCAGAGACGAGAACCAAATTTCACCAGTAATCACGGGCTCCAAAGCTGCATGCTAAAACTCCCTGGGAACAGCAGTGCAGACAGACAGCCCATATCTCACAACAAGTGCAGTACCGCATCAAAATTAGGGCTGTAACCTGCTTGGGGCAGTAGCACTATGCAATGCGCACCTTGGTTTTAGTTTAGGATATTAAAACTAATTAAGCAATAACTTGATTGCTGGAAGTGTTGGCATAGAGGTGAGGTGATAATGCTATTCAAGGACGCTTCAAAGAACTGTAAAAAAGTGCAAAATAATCATGCCTGCCCATGGCACCACATCTACATGTCTTTTAAATATGTTCAGGGATGGTGACAAAATGGAGGTCCCACCAAGATTCAAAGTAGCCTCATAATTCAAAGTGGACTCACAAATGTCAGCACACTGAACAAACCTATTGGTGATGTTGAAACATCTGGATTGCCTTGCAAGGCAAGCACAGTCAAATGGCATCTTGTGGCACAGATAAAGGTAGTTTATACATACAGGAAAACCAAGCATATTTTATAAGGTGGGAGATGTGTATGTCAACTAGCCATGAACCTGTGGAGCAATTCTTTGGCAAAGTGTTAGAAGGAAGATGATGATTCCTGGTACATATGGCACTCTTTATGCTGTCAGAAACACAAAACTGGAAGAGGGACTGGGTCATCAAGCCCAATTTTTGCCATTGCAGGTCCTAATTTAAGAAGTGCTTTTCTGTTGAATTATGAGAGAGTGTGCAAAGAAGAGCTGCAAGTAAGGGCTTTGGGAGAAATTCTCTACTAAAAGAACTCATCTTCTTAACATGTTGAGAACAAATCACAACACAACTGAACACAACTGATTGCTGTAAATATCCAGCCACACAAAAGATGCAATTCCAGGAGCTGAAAGATTAAGTCAGTAAGACTGTCCTCCTCTGCAAAGAACTTTTCATCCAGAGTGACTGCACTGGGTTATACTGCCTTATTAAAACTGTCAGGCATGCACCTCATCTGCAGCAGGCTGTGCCTCTCAGGTGACCTCCCTTTGATCTCCCATTGCTGAACAGAAATGTCCTACTAAACTTTTAAGAATAACAGGAGGATGAAATATCAGAAAGAAAGGATTTTTCCAGCTCACTTTTTGTAGATACTGGTTAATGTTTTAGGGGTTTAAATGGCTAATTTTATCACTAGATCTCCTTACCTTTCAGAGAAGGCCACTGTCAAGCACCTAATTTTGCAGGTAAGAAAATTGAAGCACAGGTCAATGGGATGATTCATGATCATTCAGCATCTAGGAAAGACAAATCTAGGAACACAAACAGGATCTCCCAGTCCCATTGTGGTCCTCTGCCCACTAAGAAGCACTGTTAGTATTATATAATAAACTGAGGTAAGAAATTAAGCAAAGAGCAAAGAAGAAGAAAGCCATGATCTCTGACTCTGTCATGTTATCTTCTGAGTGCAGGTCTGACTTCCAGCTCTCCTCTCCTGCCTGTGGAGGCTAGATTCGGGCCTTCTACTCATGACCACATTCAAATTCTCACATGAATGGTTCTGTGGTAAGTCATCAGCTGATGGCGAGATAGAAAATGTACTCTAATACAGAAATAAAAGATCCCATTTCTAAATCCTTTACATTTGAATAAACTGTACCATGCTCATCTCATAATCATAGAAGAATTTGGGACTGAAAAAGATGCCAGAATAGAATTGAAAAGTCCTGTGTCGCACAGAATTGGAATAGTCCTTCTGTGTGGCTCCATAGTCACAGCTGGACTGTCATCTGTTCCAAACTCAGTAGGAAATGAAACCAAGGCATTTTTTTCATTTTGCTGCCTGGAAGTCATCTGACTCTTCATGCAAAGCAGAGGTTTCACACCCTTCTGTTCATACAACACCTTACACCAATTACCCGATGATGTCCTTGCAAAGTCATGTCAAATTTCACCATGACCACCAATGAAAGGTTTTTCCCTTTCATTTTTTGTTTTGTGCATACTCCTCAGCATGCTGGCTGAGTGGTTAGCAAGGAATTGCCCTTACCAGCCCAGCAGATCTCTGCCATACTTTCATTTCTCTAAAACTCAGTGGCTTTCTCTATTACCACTGTGCAAGGAAAGAGCTTAGGGTTGGAAAACCCTCTCTGAGTTGTCATTCTGACTTCACATCACACTTCACCTCTTTGCCTCCCTTTCCTATAAAGTAGCAGAATAATTCCTTCAGTTCCTTCTTCACAATGTTCAGGGGGTTAAGGGGTTTAAGAGACTAAAAATTCTGTATGCCTTGTACCAGTGCTACGCAATTACTAAGTATTGTTATTCATGTTACCACTTTCTGCAAAGTATATGTCTTGATAATCAGGCTTCATGACTTTGCAACTAACCCTTAAGAACACACTGTAAGTCTACATTTTTCTCTACCACAAAAAACCCCCCACCACTTTCCTGCAGATATGGATATGTTTCATCAGTGCTTCTCATCGCGGAGGATGTAGCTGTCTACTTCTTGGGACCAGTGGTCTTTAGGGATAATGTTGGCACAAAACAGCTACTTTGTTTTATAAGAAAAAAATTTCAAGGCAGGAAGGAGTTCTGAAATTCTCAAAATGAACAATTTTGTTATTTTTCTAAGCAAAATATTCTACCCAGCACATTCCGAGCACTTTTTGGAACTGCTATTTTTTTGAGAGAACTGGAAAATCAGTTTGTACCATCTGAAATATGACACAAATCTTTGGCCTCCATTACATACTACTGTCTGCATGAAATCGGCAATGGGAAATATATATTATTGATCCCTCTTTCCACTGACAAAATTTCTCACACACATTACCTAATAAGCCTTTCAAAGAAAGGGAAGGAACAGGGAACTAACACCCGGTGGTGTTAGACATCTAGAGGGATAGTTGTCACATAGATAATGAGCTGATGGGTACAACATTAAGTGATTAGAGTGTAAGTCAAAATTATTAAAATCATAGTACCTTGACTGACACAAGGCATCT